AAAAAAAAAGCTTGAGTTTTAGGTGAATACGTTAGACTGTAAAAGTGCTCTTGTTTTTTACCTGCTGTGCAAAATTTTTGTCAGGGCTTGTAGAGTGATAAGATCAAAGGAAGAGAAACGAAGTTCTTCAAAAGGCCAACACTTTCTTCTGCTTTTTAATTATGGTTAATCTTGATAATAGTAAGTGTTCACAACCAATGACAGTAAATATGCAACTGATTTGATACATGAAAGTATGCTAAAGTTTTTAATATTTGTTGTTAATTAGGCTATAAAGTATCTCTGAGTTACTGCAGGTTAACCATTCGTTGTAACTACTGTTCTGCACAAAAGCATTCATTGTACACTTGTATATTCAAAATCTTTTTGAGAAAATAGGAGGCTAAGCAATAGTTAACTGCTTTTTGCTGGAAATATCATCATTAAAAAATGCTAGATTTGGTATTTTTCAACTATCCTAATTAACATCTCCATTAGGGCTTCTACTCTTTAAGCATTAATTTATCTTCAATTTATTTATTTCGCTTGTTATTTGAGTGTTTAGTATTACCTAGACCGAGATAAAGCAGTTGACTCTTTGGTCTATCAGTATGTGAAAGAGAGGTCAAATGTTAGGCGTTTTTTGTAGTGCAGCTTAACTTTTTGTTGCTTATCATGACACAGAACTGTCATTTTTTGCCTTGTCTATGCGTTAGTAGTTTGGTACACCATTACTAGTGATATGGTTTACTTTTTTTTTTGAAGCCTGCAAAGAATAGTTTTAGAAAAAACACTGGGCCATGTCGACCGTGAAAAATGGCAAAAAATTATAGAACTGAACATACATTACTTGTTGTTTTTTGGCTGAATTGAACCTTCAATTTTCACGCACGTTTTGAACAGTGATTTTTTCGTCAAACTATTTCAAAAACTGATGCTGTAGGAAGTATCTGGATATGCAGTTAAAAGGATATTTTGTGTTTCTGGTAATACCGGTTAATTTAAAGAACAATTTTGCGAAACTACTTCTTACTTTTAGTCATCGGTAAAGTATAGAAAAATTGGTTATAGTTACGAAAATTGAAAGTAGTCCGTGTGCAATTGCAGCTGTCTACCAAATCCAAGAGCTTGGACTGCGCGGACTTTAAAACTGGTGAATTTTTAAAATTCATATATGATTTCTTTGAACTCTTTCATTTGTTAGGGGAGAAGAAAACCGACAAATGTTCTCTTAGTTTGAACTCACATAGAGACTTTTTCTGTTTTTTACTGCTTACAGCCTTTTATAGAATGTTTGAACAACTATTTAGACGCTGGTATCAGTTGCTATACCGCATTTTCCATCTATTAACAGTTGCACAATAAATGCTGTTAAAACTGTTGTTGTATTTAAAGGCATGAAAATATCAAAAATGTATTTATTTTATGACCAAATAAATTTTTTAGTTTTATTAGTGTTCTATTTGCAATTGCTGTTATATGACTAAGTTTGGTGGTTTAGTGAAATCTCAGCTTTCTTATCCTTCAGGACTCCTGACTAATGATTAGTCTACTGAAATCTTGAGATGTATGAACCTTTATAAGACAAAAAAATGACATTTAGTTGTACTTGAAATTATTTAAAAAAAAAAAGGTGATAATGCACTATTCTATTCAAATAAACCTGCTAAAAGGTTACTTCAACTCTTCTTTACAAAATTTAGTATTTTTTTAACAAATTTTGTCGACCAAATGTTCGTCAAGGGTTTATCGATGGAAAGTCTATGGTAAATTTCTCAAACTAATACTAACTTTCAAAAATAGACAGTTTTCTGTTCAATTAGTCGGTCGGTTATACTTTTCAAAATCGACAATTTGAAATGTTATTTTAACTATTGCTATCATTATAACTATTGCTTTCAAAATGCTTATTCAGGATTTATCTAGAACAACGGGAAACTTAAAGTCATAAATAAAGGTGATATTTTGATGCTTAAACTTCAGTCACTAATTGAATAACTAAAGATTTAGGAGCTTAAGTAAATAGTGTTGTTTTTCGGTTTTACACTTAGACATCACTTGAATGGCGTAAAAAATTGATGACCATGCCCTTTTGGGTGCTTCGTATGTCTGGCTGTACCCGGTTGTTCTAAGGATATTAAAATACGTTTTCTATTGTTTTCTTAGCATTGCTTGTTCTATGCAATCCCCAACCTTAAGTACTAGAATAATTTTTTGGTGGACTTCGTGTCATATCTTTAATTTCTTTCAGTCAACAACTTTTTTTTTGATTATACTTGTTGCCTACTCATTCTTCTCTTACTTATTTCCTCATTATTCTGCTTCCTTATTGGAAAAAAACTTTAATTATCAAAAAAAAAAGTCAGACTATACAGGTACTTGAAAACAGTTTTTTTTTGACTTTAGTCTATCTAAGCTTTCGCAACTTTTGATTGCTTCATAAAAATGTGTGCAAAAAATGTTGCTAAAGTGAACATTTTTTCTATCAAATAAAGTTTCATATGTTTTTTTTTTCTTCTTTTGCATTAATTATTAAAATTATTATTTCAGTTGCTTTTTCAACATTACCAATTACCATTATCTTTTCTGAACTTATCAATACGTGTTTTACTTGTTTTTGCTTTCCTTCATCTTCGTCTTCTTCTTCTTCTTCTTCTTCTTCTTCTTCTTCTTCTTCTGAAACACTTCATAACTGTCGTCAACTCCTGTTTTTACAACAACTTTTTCATCTTTGTATTTATTTTGTTTAATTTTTCTCGTTTACTTAATTTTATAACTATTAATGTTCTGTAAATTTACACAAGTTTTTCTGTTAGACCGCAAATTAAAGATTGGTCAGTTTTTGCATATTACCTAAACAAATCATTAATTCGCTGCTGTTCCAAATCATTTATTCTTTAAAACAGCAAGCAAAACAGAAATATACCCAACGTAAAACCAATCTTTACCTGATACTAAACTAAGAAAACTGACGAGTTTTAAAGTCAAAAAAGTTACAGATGGTGGGTTTATATGCGTTGAATCACACAACTTTTTACCTGAATAAACTAACCAGAATTTTGTACAAATTATGACAGATAATAAAAGACAATTTCAGCAGATAAACCGAACTTGTATAGACAAGTTTTCTCAAACTCTTTTCGCAACATTCAAATATTCAATCTGGTGTTATTCAATAGTAAACAGTAGTTTTTTTAAACAATTTCTTCTAAACAATACGTTTTTTTTGCTCATTTTTTCTAATTTTAAACGATACTTTTTTTGCGGTAATATTTTCGCTAACCTTCAGTAATTCTCAATAGATTACTTTGGAAACAAGCTACCATACTGTGTGCACTACCTTAGGCTGATGCAGATTTGGCTTTGCTTTGAAGTTCAGAATTCAACAATATCTATTTGCTATCTGCTTTCTTACTCATTTATAATAAGCACTTAGTTTCTGTCACAAACAAAAATTTCAGCTGAAAAATGGATCATCAAGGAACTGATCTTAATTGCTGGAAAAGCATCATCTGCCATGATTCAGCAAGCTTAAGAAGTACCTGTTTTTTCAAGATTTACTTCTTTCCTAATGCAAGCAACGGTTGGATAAATAAATGATCGATGCAAATTCAAAATTTTTATGTTACAAGCAATTTTTTTTGTACTTTTCTTGATAAATGCTTCTATTTTTTTGGTCT